TATGTGTTCTTTTTTCTCTTTTTTAAAATACAGATGACAAGACGTTGTTATTCTTTCAGATGCGTATAGCTCCATTGCTATTTATTTTACAAAACAAAAATAAATTTACAAAGTTTCAAGTTTTTGCAGTGTGATCAATTTGTTCATGTACACTTTCGTTTTCAAGTTATAACATAAACTTCAAGTTTTTTAATGTAAACCATAGTTAGCTATGAGCTAGAAAAAAAAGTCTTTTTTTATGCTTTCCAACGATATAATATTCAGAATTGTTATTAAAAGAAATGGGAAAACTGCTGCTTTTAACTTTTCAGTTTCTCATTAAGGATCATAAAACTGCACATCTTTCCTCATTTTAGGCTTTTTTGTGTCTCTGCCACTTTGCCCGGTCCTACACAAAACGTCAAAAAAAAACTCACCCTGTATATAGTGTGTGTTCATATCAGCAATATTTAGAAACTCCCTTAAGTGTCGAATTTTTAAAATATATTTTATTGAGAGTGAAATAATACATAAAATAGAAAATACGAGAATGATAAGATACCGATGAATAAATAAATATTATAGAAAATTGATACCTGTATTCCATAACCAAATAGATATTATGAGAACATACACATGATATTGTACATTCAATTTATTGATTTGTCTTCGACAGGTGCACTTATTATTTCTTATGTGTGAAAGTACCTATTCTATGGTATTTTTTTAGACAATTTATAAATGATCACAGGGGGCGTAGCTCAGATGGTAGAGCGCTCGCTTAGCATGCGAGAGGTACCGGGATCGATGCCCGGCGCCTCCACTTTTTTGCTATAATCTTTTTTTTTTTAATATTCTATCGCCTCCAATTTTTTAATATTTTTTTAAATATTGTAAATGTCTAAAGAATTTTATTGATTTTGTCGACCCTAAAGAAAATTTGCTATTACCTTCTTAACATTACAGAATAATTTTTTATACTTCTGTATTTTAAGGGATGTTTTGAATTTCCTCAAATAAGTGCTTCTACCAGACATCTTTCTATTTTTAAGTTATGTGTTCTGTTTTCTTTTCTGTGAGAACAGTAAATTCTAAAGAAAAATAAGATGATGTTTTGCAGGCGATATGACTTTTGTGACCACTGCATTGCGTTGCACCTGATCAAGGAATCAAATCAAACTTACCAAACTTTATGTTTTTTGGGGATGCTCTTTCATGTGGTGCCCACATAAAATTAAAAAAAAAATCATTCAGATCACGAAAATCGACTTCCAAGTTGAAAATCACCGCAATTTTCTCCTATTTCAATCTTTATACTGTTTCATTCGTAGAATATAACAATTTAATTTTTAAAGTAACAATTCTCTTAATACACCATATGCGGCAAAACTAGAATATATAATAAAAATATAAACAATATTGTATGTGCAATTTTAACTATTTAGTTGTACAAAGTAGACCATTCTGTGGTATTTTATTTAAACATTTTATAAAAGTTAACAGGGGGCGTAGCTCAGATGGTAGAGCGCTCGCTTAGCATGCGAGAGGTACCGGGATCGATACCCGGCGCCTCCACCTTTTTTTAAAAGAAATATTGGTTGAAAATATCGCTACCTTTTTAGGGTTCGATATAAATGCTCTCCAAAAATTAATAATGACTTTTATTACGACTTAGTACGTACTCATCTTTACAACCTACAAAAATATTGCAGGAGAAAATATATCTTGAAAATCCACACAGTTGTAGAGCAAATGTGTCTAGCTACAAATTGTAGGGTAATTCTTTCACAATAAACTGTAAAAATAATCAGAACTTAAATGTCGTAATTTCGTATTTTTAAGCAATATTGTACGCCAGTTAGACACATCTCGTAGCTGTTCTCATCTGTGCCAGAATGTTCACAATTTGGTCGAATTTGGTAATGTAAAGGCGTTTAATTAATCTTTTTACGAGTGTTAACAGGGGGCGTAGCTCATACGGTAGAGCGCTCGCTTTGCATGCGAGAGGTACCGGGATCGATGCCCGGCGCCTCCACTTTTTTTATCATATCTTCGTCAATTCGAGACAATCACAATTGTTACCTTATCATTTTAGCTCAAATAACCTTCTATAAAAAACTTAATTTAATTCGAATCTTATACAAAATTCAATACGTTCAATTTAACGATTATTACATACAGGGTATCTCAAAGCGAACGGGCCATATTTCAAGGATAGTTTTCAGGGTGAAAAAAGAGTTGTTTTTTTATGTGTTATGGTACTACAATATTTAATTCTGTAATGAAACTTCTTTAGTACTTTTATTTTTTGCACAACAATACCGAATTAAAGCAGAAAACACCTTATTAATGATTTATTATAAAATTTTTCAAGGTAATTGGTAAATTACGAAGAATGATAGCGACAACGTTGCACTGTCTTAATTTTAAAGGTAAATGCCAATACGTTTATTTGTGATGTAAGCAGGTACCAGTATTAAAGCAGAGTGAAAGCAGATAAATTAATTTATATGTTTCATTCTAGTATTGCCTTGACAAAATTGCGGTTCTTTAACATTGTTGTAAATGTTATCAGGGGGCGTAGCTCAGATGGTAGAGCGCTCGCTTAGCATGCGAGAGGTACCGGGATCGATGCCCGGCGCCTCCAATTTTTTGTGGTAGTGAATTATAAGTACTAGGTAGAATAAAAGTTCAATATCAAAAGATTTTTTAATGTCTTCAGCCCAACAATACAAGACTAAAACTTAGTACAAATTCTTAACACAGGACGTGTTAATAAACGGATGTGTTGTAGAAATGAACTTAAGAGGGCTCTATATCAAATAGGCAACCAGCAATACATTTTTATAGATTTTATTACACAGTTTGTCTAAATATGAACAAATGCTGCTTATTTGTTATCATACTTATCTCACTTGATAAGTGGACAAGTTAGTAATGTGTTCTTAAATATTTTTAATCTAACCGTGATGCATATTTTATTGTTTGATTTAGTTGCATGTAATTTTAGTTGTGTATCCATGTAATATGTATTGTATGGTATACAAGTGACACATCTTGTTGAAATTGTCACGAAGAAAATAAACTGCTTCAACAGGGGGCGTAGCTCAGATGGTAGAGCGCTCGCTTAGCATGCGAGAGGTACCGGGATCGATGCCCGGCGCCTCCATCAAATATTTTGTTACATTTTTTTTCCCTGGATGTCCTAAACTTTTCTAATAGATTTAACTACTATTTTATTACTTTCTTGCATGATCCTCCTCAGTCCCGTAATACATTCTTGTTGGATTAATTTCATAGAAATCTAAATTATCTTATCGACATAACCCACACTGGATGATTTTCAAAGATCTTAGTATTTATATTTTATTTTACACTTAACATTTTTCAGACGTTTATCATTGCGAAATTTGTTCTAAATCCTATAAGACATATCCATCCCTGTGGAGGCACAAGCAGTACAATTGTGGAAGTGACAAGTTGTTCAAGTGTATCTATTGTGACAAATGCTACAGAGTAAAGTACGAAATAAAGGAACATGTGAAACGTAGACACCCTGATAAGTTCGAGCAATTCAAGTCCGAGTACAAGCAACATTACAGTTTCAAATATTAATTGTTATATGATCAACATATCCATGTGTAGGCTTGGCCAAATTCATTTTGTTTCAGATAAATAACATATTTACCAGACCCCTAAGTAAAATTTTTGTACAGAAGGCCCTACTATTAAGGCCTCAACGAACTCTTTCCCTGATCTGCGCATCTCTCGAACAAGTTGAATTTAGTCAAGCTGTTTACTTTTTCCATGTGGGTTTCATTTTACAATTTTTAAATTTTTCTTAGGATAAGTGATTCACATTATTTATATTTACATACATCCTAACTGTATATTTCTTAAACTTAGATCTTTAGTCAGGATCGAAATATGATTGAGAATTGATTGTTACAAAACAGAAAAATATGTACGTGTCATTACTACACAACTGAGTGTTTGTAGAGTTATATTATAACGAACATACATATGTGTTAAGTTTTGTGTACCAGGTAGTAATATACTCATTATATTAATATTGTTGCTTTATTCATTTTTAACGTGTTAAAAGAGTAAGAATAATTTTCTTGAAATCGGTTGGGATTCCGAAATAACTTTATTTAGACAAAGTACCATTATTTTTTGCTGTTCTATCATCTCCCGAAGTCTGGTAGATTAAAAATGGGACACCACCTAGATACATTCAAGTAACATTTCGGACATACCTAATCCCAACTCATCACTGTCAAATATTTCTAACATCAAATATAGGAATGATAGTTGAATGTATAATAACCTCATGTTGAAGATTCACATAATCTAAATTGTCTTATTTTCAGAAGGTGTAAAGAAATTTACTTGTCATATCTGTAAAAAGAAGTACCAACACAGGTGTACTCTTTTGAGACATTTAAAAATCGAGTGCGAAAATGTTGGATCAGAAGTATGTCAGTATTGCAGAAGAGTTTTCAAACATCGCCACAATCTCCAAAGACACATTGCAACCCAACATATAAAAATTGCACAGCAAATTTATCTGTAAGAGAAATCGTCTATATTTCGTTATAAAAAAATATAATTTAATTACTTAGGTATTGTTTACGATTTATTTTTATAAAAAAAATTAAAATTTCGAAAATAGCCACGTCAATAAACTTTTAAAGTACATATTATTGTAATACATCTAACCATTAGTAATATAACAAGCCTTCAAATAGCGGAGTGTTAACTTTTATTGTTGTTCTGAGATGTTATTTATTATATATTATATATTTAGTATTTTTCAGTTTAATTTTCCCTCATATTCATTCCACAATTCGCCAATTGCTCAACTCTTTTAATTTTCCCTGTTGTCTCGTATATTTGCTTTTTATCTACATTGTTATTTAACATGTTATTGCATTTTGTTGTCTTTTACCATTCATTCTGTGTCGTGTTTGCTTTTTTCAGAAGATACAAACGATAAATACTAATAAAGAATGTTTCAGGTCAAGCTTACTTTAAATGTCTACAGTGTTTCAAAAGTTACAAACACAGAACCAATTTAGTTAGACATCGCAGACTGGAGTGTAACAAAGCACCTTCGTATCATTGCCCGGTTTGTAACCTTTTGTTTAAGCACAAGCACCATCTTCAGAAACATCAAGAAAGACAACACAGCGTCCAAAACTGATTTTTCTGGTTCGACAGGGTTCAGGATTAAAAATGACGTAGTAATACTGCTAAAGCAGGAGTTGTAACATGTAACTTTTTTTTGTTAAATTGCTGTATTAATATGTTAAAATTATACTGGTAAAGAATACTTCAAGAGTAGCTTCTTTGGGGGAAATAAACTAATTTAATCGATTGCCCAAGCACAATTCGTTTCCTTGAAAAGTTGTGATTGTTTAGAGAAGTTTCTTTAGATATATTTTTAAGATCTTAAGCGTAGATGTTACTAAGAACATCTTAAACAATATTTTGTGTTATTTTGGCTATATTCATTTTGTTGGTAGAGATTTTAAATTCATGTTTTTTGAATTGCCATTTGTATTGTAAAAACACACACTTTTTGTATATCTCTAAAATGCATAATTTTTTAGGAAAAAATATGTTTTTATACTACAAACAGTTGAGAATATAAAAAATCTCACTACTTTTTGCTATATTTTCTATGATTTACTGAATAGCCTACATTCGATTTACGTCTTCCTTTTACTTTTTTTCTTCCACTTTCCTTCCTTATTTTTTGTTTGTTTTTATTTTAAGTTAAACCGTTTTCAGGTCCATTTATCTGTCCCGATTGCAACAAAAATTATGCAACTAAATCAACCTTAGCGAGACATATGAAATATGAATGTTCCAAGCAACCCAGGTTCGGTTGTGGATTATGTTTCTACCGGGCATATCAAAAGACTCACGTTGTCAGCCATCTCATGAGAAAACACTCGATTCAATGCAGATCGGAAGTGATTGAGAAAATTGTTATGTTTAACGAATCAGCTCAATTAGATGAAGAATACTACTCGATTTGATACATTTTCTACATTGGTGATTTGATTTGGATACGTAGTTTCTTGTTGAATTTTCAAAATACTAAAAAAAATTATTGTTGAAAGAATTAAAGTTTCAAGTTGGACACCTTATAACCCCAAAAGTAATTAGACAATAATTCGCAATTAATTAAAATTGTTTAAATGCTATAAGAATTTTCAAATGTAATTATATGGAAGCGTAAGTATAAGTAAAGGTATAACAGAATCAAAATAACGTTTTAATCCAGCAAATTTTGTCTTCAGCGTTAAAAACTTAACATTTAAATTTTCGAATGTGAAATATATCCTGAGACAACATGGGCTATTGATTATATCCAAAAAAACAGGGAACTATGACGTTCAAGCAATTTTATTGCATGAATCGTTCAAAGAGTCATTTTAGATGAAAAAACCACGCAGTGCTATTAAATTAGAGGATTGATGTTGAAGATAGGGGTGAAAATGCACTTTTGCAGTTTTTTAAATATAACACGAAAACGAAGCAAAGTTTCGGTATAGTTCATAGGAAAAATTTTGTAGAGAATTGAATTTGCCATCGTAATGGCTTATTTAAAAAATTGAATAGAAAAATTTTATGCAAAAAATCGTTAATTATTAATAATAATAATAAGCAGAAAATTTGATTTTTTTATTTATATTTTACTTTTTGGATCTAATTTTTTTTTAGTAGATGTAGGCAAAGAAAATTTCTTTACAAAAAAACTAGATGAGATTCCCTTCAAAATGATGGGTTTTCAAAAGTTTTTGGACTAATATTGACTGAGTTATAACCGGTCAAACTTAAATATTTTTTAAATTTTCGTCGTTTTTAACATAATAATTATTATTATTTTTACAACGAATTAGTTCTTTACTTAATAAAAAATTATTTCAAAAGTTTTATCTGTTAATAATAAATAAAGATTTTCACAACTGTATGAAATATAAGAGATTTTTCAAATGAAATTACAGTTTATCATACTATATTTCTTTTTTTGCTACCTCAAATAAAGAGATTTATAATAATGTATATAAATGATTTAATTTAAAAACTACTTATTAATTATACCCAAATATTGTTTAGAATTTAAAACATTTAGATTTGTAAAATGATTTAATTTGAAATGTATTTCATTTCTGTTTCGTTACAAGTCTACAAGGTAGACTTTTACCGTTACTTTTTTGTAAAAATAATAAAAATTATAATCATTATTATGTTAAAAATTTGACCGGTTATAATTCAGTCAGTTTATTAGTCCAAAAACTATTGAAAACGCATCATTTTGAGGGGATTCTCATTTAGTCTTTTAGTACAGAAATTTTCTTTACCTACTACTACTAATAAAAAAATTGGAGTCAAAAAAGTAAAAACAAAATAAAAAATATTGTCTATTGTTTTTTTATAAATTGTTAATTAACGATTTTTCACATAAAATTTTCCTTTTAAATTTTTTAAATAAGCCATTTCGATGTGAAATTCAATTCCCTAAACAATTTTTCCTATGAACTATAACGAAATTTTGCTTCGTTTTCGAGCTACAATTAAAAAACTGAAAGGGGTGCATTTTCATCCCTATCTCCAATTTCCACCCTCTAATCTAATAACACTCCGTGGGTTTTTCATCTAAAATGACCATTTGAACGATTCATAGAATAAATTATCTTGAACGCCATAGTTCCTTTTAAAATCCTATAATCAATAGCCTAACAGATGATTCAATAAAGTCTCATAAGGGAAAAATTCATAATTGTAAAGATTGGAAATTTCCAGTGTTACCTATTGTTGAGAAAAGTATTGCAATCTAGTACTTTACTCATATTTGAGGTAAAGAAACGGAAATTTTATGAAAAATATCTTATATGAGCTCATTTCATCAATGTAAATAATTCACTGGTATTAAAGATCACATCACATTATATGTATATTTTTGCTAAGGGTGATAGGGTATTAAAAATATTGTTATGAACACCTTGTTTTATATAGTTTATGATTTATTTATTGATTAGTTAGATATTTTTTGTATTAGTTATTTGTAGATAAAATATGTAATACTGTTTACTCTTGTTTTATTTCAATTTTGATTTCAATGAATTCGACAATCCTTTACAACTCTTATTAATACTGTTTATTTCACCTAAGTAAATTATGAATCTAATGAAGAGAAATTTCATTAACCAAGTAATAATTATCTACTTTGATATGTACAATAAAGGATTTTTAAAATTGTTTCAAATAAAATTGAAATTGAAAACAAACAAAACCTCCGAATTTGATTTTTGATATAATTTGCTACTCTCTTGTACGAAAAATGTAGAATTCACTGTCTTTTTTAAATTCAACCATCACTTTCTGTTGTCAAAAACTCATATTAACCATACCATGCTGAAATTGTGTCCGTTGTTATTTGTTTTAAGAGAAAAAGAAAAGAGTAAAAGTACTGACACTATTTTTTTAGATTATCGATTCGGGTGTCCCATATGCAGCAGGAGATACAAATACAAAGGCAACTTGATGAGGCATAAAAAGTACGAATGCAACCAGGAGCCCCAGTTCGTGTGTCAAGTGGAAGGCTGCAGCTATTCCTGCAAAGTCAAGGGCAACTTGGACCGTCATTTTAAATACAGGCACGCCGTTGGTCTTCCTATCAAATTCGACTACAAGTACATGTACCAAGAAACGAAGCCTTTTTCCTGGCATCAATGAATTCGTTGATACTTTAGTGCTGATATGTGTTAGTGACTTGTTAGTAAAACGGACCAACATGCGATGATCACAGTTATATCGCCATTTTGCTATAACGTAGCTTGCTGCAACCCTTAATAATAATAAAAATATGTAGCCAATTTGAGGATAAAGAAATTTCATTTTAACAAAAAGAGCAAAATTAAATTTTTGAGTTTTGTTTTCCTATATAGTAAACCATATACAATAATGTCCTAAGTTGTGTTTCGGTAGTGGTAGTGCATTTGTTTTTAGTTAATTGGCAAAAATTTTTATTTTTTGAATTAAATATAACAAATTATACAGGGTGGTCTTAGGTACATTCCAGTAATAAAAGGAAAATTTCTGCAGTTAATTTTAAGAAGGTTGAGGGAAAATATATTCCTGCCTAGGTATGCAGACAAGAAGAACCAAAAGAGATAATTTGTTAAAATTTTGTAATTAGTCGAAACTTTCTGTCGGTTTCTTAACGCTACTTTAAGGTTTGCTTTTAAAACTTGAAAACCCAGTGTCGCGCCAATTTTCTCAATAAGTACATTGTAAAGTACCTTTACCTATACCCATGTCGGAACAGACTCAAGCACGACCCTGTATATTTCTGGAAAGCGCAGGGCACCCTTTTTCAACTAGGTGACTATTGTTTTCTTCTAAAAAAATATAACTTTGATCTGTAAGTCTGTAAGAAACTTGTAATGTCTCCTTTTGGCTACATATTTTAGAATCTATATTCAGAGAAAATTGTTTTGTCTGCCCATTAGTATTTTGCGCTTTTTTATATCAGCTATTTATTTATTTCATTGAGAATATCTTTATCAAATCACGAGTGAAGTATGTAATTATAAATATTTGCTGAAAATATAAATAATAAGAAGAAATACGTGTTTTCTATTCCTTCAAATATTCTTTTACGTCCGATGAACAGCTAGATGATTTAAATTTTGTGTCAAATGCCACTTTGAATTAAAAAAATCATATCGAACCTACAAATTATTTTTCATTCGAATAAAGAAAGTAGTAAAATGCGTTATTTTTTTATTTTCTATGACCAGAACCAAACACCAAACGAAAACCTGTTTACTTAAAAGAAATGTTCACTGATCTCTTACATTTTTAGATTACAAACCACTACAAGGATTTCCCTCCACAATTTTTGTTGGAATGCGTTTTCCAACTTACGACACATTCTCCGAGTTTTTCAAACAATATGAATTCGAAAATCGAATTAGGTTCAGCAAGGCAAAGTCGAGAAAGCTCGAAAACAGGGGCAAAACTAAAATACCTCTCAAGCCAGAGTTGGTCTATTACGAAATTGAATACAAATGTGTCGTAAAAAAGTAAGTATTTGTATTAGACAGAAAATAAATTATTCTGTTATAGTTATTGTTGTTGCACTAATAAATAAATTTAGAAAATATATACTACGAGAAACTAAAATAAAAAAATTAAGTCTAAAAATATTATTTAATTATTTATATTATTTATATATTTTTTTTAATTATTATTTATAACTTTCATGTATTCGTACATGCTTGTATTGAAATCATTTAATTGAAATATGTCAATACATATACAGGGTGTCCCGAAATTAATGGGACACAGAGCAAGAGTAGTTTCCTTACATCAAAATAATGCGATTAAGTCAAACTTACCCTGGTCCATTTGTGGCTAATAAAAAAGTTACAGGTCGTTAAAGTTGAAATTTTGAATTCAAAATTCTTAAAATTCTTAAAAAGTTTTCAAAGGATTCCTTTGAAAATTTGGATTAGGGGGTTTTCTGGGACAAGAAAACGAATCCGTACTTAGTTTTACTGTAGGCGCTAGAGAGCGCTACGAAATGTGCTCTTGGTTAATAAAAACTGGTTATAACTTTTTTATCAGTGTGTGTACTATTGTTGTCCTATCTATTTTTCACAAATAAGGGATACTTGTTTTATGTCGATAAATTTAACCGTTTTCGATTTATTTCTTGTTTTTCTATTGGATGCAATAAAATAAAATACACAATTTATTAAAACTACTGAACTACTGAAGTGGTCACTTCTGCTAATTGATTACAGGATAAATGTTGTATCTTTTACTGATTGTTTTAAATTGAAAATGTGTTTTTTTTTTCGTAAAAATCTAATCTTTTTCATCAAAAAATGTTAAATAACGAAAAAAAGAAAAAGGTGAAAGGAATATTTTTTTAATTATAAAAATTTAATGTAGCCACCTGAATGTAATTAAATTATTATTAAAAATAATCTTTAGTTTTTTACGTAAATAACCACAAACTTTTATTTTATTTTATTTTATTGCATCCAATAGAAAAACAAGAAATAAATCGGAAACGGTTAAATTTATAGACATAAAACAAGTATCCCTTATTTGTGAAAAATAGATAGGAGAACAATATTTTTCAATTAAAACTTTCGTACACACACTGATAAAACAGTTATCAGTTTTTCTCAACCAAGAGTACATTTTGTAGCGCCCTCTAGTAGTACGGATTCGTTTTTCTCGTCCCAAAAAAAACCCTAATCCAAATTTTCAAAAGAATCCTTTGAAAACTTTCTAAGAATTTTAAGAATTTCGAATTCAAAATTTCAAATTTAACGCACTGTAACTTTTTTATTAGCCACAAATGGACCAAGGTAAGTTTGGCTTAATCGCATTATTTTGATGTAAGGAATCTACCCTTGCTCTGTGTCCCATTAATTTCGGGACTCCCTGTATATTTATTTTTTATTTAAGGCATTGCCCTGCCTTTATAAAAGTCAGAGCCAGCAGGGACGGTCAGACTCTTGAAATAAAAAAGATGGATTTAACACATGACCATTAAAAGAAAAATCAACTATTTAAAACTGTATAAGTATATTTGTTACATGTTGACTTTTATCAAAAAATTTATAATTCAAAAACTGTGTTCTCATTTTACAAACCACTATCCTATTATAAAACAACATAAAATGTCTACAGGTAAGTAAAGACTACGTATTAAACTTAGTTAAAGCTGTGAAAATTATGAGGCTAGTACGATACAGTCAGTTTTTTCTCTAACTCAACAAAATATGTGACATTGATAAGTCAGGTTAGATTGTAATAGTTGTGTCCTGTTATCGAGTGGAATAAAATCTAACTTCATGTTGACGTCGTAAAGAAACTTTTTATTTCTAAAAAAAAATATCTATATAGATAGTTACAAAAACAGAGCCATAGGTAAGAGAAATTTTAATGATTTTCGCATCTAAGAAATAAGTAGTGGTTAGTTGTATTAAAATCTCTTTATCTATCCTATTTCTAAAGATAGCTGAAGAAATCCACATTGCGGAGATCTTCACTATTGCACGTCTATACTTAACAATCTGTAGTCATAGCGTTGATCTTTTGAGATTTGTAAAACACGATTATTTTAGGTGAAAAAGCACACCACCGCTGTGTCCAGTGCAACCGTCTGTACAAACACAAGGCTTCTCTTTACAAGCATGTAAAATTTGAATGTGGCAAGAACCCCCTGTTTGCCTGCGATTACCCAGGCTGCGCCTTCACTTGTAAACTGAAAGGAAACTTGACGAAACATACCAAGAGGCATAAGAATTCGTTACAGTCTGGTTTGGGGGATAATATTACTGAAGATTATATGGATTAGAATTGAGAGTTTCTAAAAGTGCGAAGATATGTTAATAATTTGACTAAATGATCATTTCTGATTGATATATCAACACATTTTTCAAGAAAGCATTTCGCAAAAAAGTCGGAAAGGATCCCATTGGTCGGAAACAAGCACTTTCTCACACACATCTCCAAGAAAAATTAACTTTACCTACAAATTTTCGACGTAGCTAATAGATCGCAAGACTTGTGTACGTAGACACAAACGTAAACTATCCACAGAACAATCGAAATTACATTTATGTTTCCCTAGAACGTAGAGACACTGCTCTTTGATAAATACACAGAAACATTACATGTATAGACTCAACGTCTTAATTCAAATGGACATCACTACAATAAGTTTATAGATTTGTGTCGATTATTAGTATATCAACCTTTAAAGTGATTTTATTAATATCTTCTATATTTTCTCTTATTTGTACAACTGAATTGTATTGTATTAATAAATATATTGAATTTTGTGATATTTAACTTTAATAAAACATTTTTAATTGCCTACATATAATGAGTATTGTATCTTCCGTCTCAATAAAATCTGACAGAGATATACGTGTCAAAGTTCTTGGCATGAAATTTTCGAAGCTATTTTTAAATGTAGGCTTAAGACAATAAACGAAAAACGCAACTTATGAGTTATATTTCTTTATTGGAGACCTTCTAGTTTTTGGGGTTAGGAATTGCTCAAAGAAGCATTGCAAGCAAACTTATACAATTGTACTCAAATGTTTTGTGTGTGCAAGTAAAAATTTTCATTACGTTTCTGATTCTTTTTGGTTTTAGGTGGAAATTTACATACCTGTCCAGATTGCAAAAGATCGTATAGACACTATGCGTCGCTATACAGACATCGTAGATTTGAGTGCGGTAAACAACCCTCTTTCAAATGTTCCATAGAGGGGTGTTCTTTCGAAGCCAAACTGAAATCTAATCTAAAACAACATTTGTGCAGACATAATAAGCTAAAGAATGTTTTACCTAAGTGATAAAAGTTGGATTTACTTATTATTTATTAATGATATGCTTGTCAAAAACAACCTGAAAACTATTTTTGTCACTAAGTAGTGGCGTATGAAGTGATATTTAGTTAGTTGCTAGTAATTTTGTTAACAGTCTTGATCCCAGGAGAAATAAAAATTTAAGACATTTGAAAATTTATTTATTCTAAAAATATGTTGTTTTTCCATGTTTCTTTTCAACACGTTATCAATTGGTAACTCTGCGTAGAATTTGAAACATCTGTACTGCATTAAGAGGCATTTTATTAACTATGTTCATTTAATTTTTTTCTTTTTATGTATAGAAACTATATCACTAACATCGTAAGTCCATGCGAAGGTATGTTAGTTTCTCTTGAAACCTACTGAAATTTCACATGAAATAAAAAACTTTATAAACAAGTTTCTTATTAGATATGAAAATTAGGTAAAAACAAGCGTATTGGTAGAAAAGTTATAGGATGGTCAAAGGAGTGGCGTTCCCAAAAAGTATGACACTTAGAATTCTCTGGTTCTACAAAAAATATTATTTCGTGGTACCAAATCCACTAATTTTACCCGAAGATTATTTGGTCTTACTTGATCTACGTATTTTAAAGACACAAGAATTTATTTCCAAGGAAACATTGTCTTCACTTTTGACTAATATATTTTGTTTTAGATGAGGAAGATCATATTTAAGAAACAAATTTTTACTAACAGATTTACAGCCTTTTTCTGACTGAACTGAATACGTATCACTATTTAAAGGACGTATTATATAAGTTAGTTAAATAAAATTGGAAAATGGATGAACGATGAAAACAGAAAAATCGGTATTTTTAATATGAAAATGTATCTTACAATAACTCTGACTAGTTTTTGCAAGTATTCTTTTTTTATATGTACACAAAAACTATTGTCTTGTTTCAAGGAAACATAGTTATGAATACAATATGATCCGAGCATAATCTTTTACATCGAATATACTTTTAAATTCAAAATTGTAATGTGCAATTAAATGATTGGTTATAAATAATATTTTTTTTCTACTTTAAAAAGTGCATATTAGTAGTCCTTATATATATTTAGTTATTTTATTCTATTTTATGCAATTCGTAAAGTTTTTTTCCTGTAGCTTCAAAGACAAAAATGTGCTAACTTTGAAATCATTTCAGATGAACATCGTTATCAGTGCGACCCACTTCTAAGCGTCACCAGAATTGAAAGTGAAGCAGGGGCGACAATTTGTACTTACCCAGTCATATCCTCTATAGATTCTCTTGCTGCAGAAGAAGAAAAAAGTGGGAATACTGTCCCAGAAAGACCGAGGAGGACGAAGAGGAAGCCAATGACTAAAACTTTCCACAGAGAATTAGTGACAAAGCTGCGACACAAATACGTTAGGCAAAAGCACCAGAACATATTGATATGCGAGAAGAAAGGCAAACTAATAGCAACCCTGCGTTGTGTATTGTGCAACTTATTCGTAAGGAAAGGAGAACAGTTCTGCTACAGGTGCAAGGAATATTTGGAAACCGGAAAGAAGCCACCAGTCCAGAGGAAAACAAAAGATCAGCTCGACCAAGTCCCTGTCAAAAATAAATGCAGAATATGTTCAGTTTTCATAAGAAATATCCGCGGTTTATGTTATAAATGCGAAAATGTTCAAAAAAAAATTAAGAAGGAAGCAAACCTTTCTTCGAAAGGGAAGAGTTTGTCAAGCAAGGGCACCAGCAAAACGAAGCCAGTGGATAAGAAGCCCCCGACATTAAGTATCATGAAGAAAAGTCGCATTATTAAGAAAAAAGTTGTCAAGAAACGCAAGAAGAACTTCAGGTGCGAATCTTGTAACTCATTCTTTGTGCACAATAAAGGCGACTTGTGTCAGAAATGCAAGAAAAGATTTGGATCCGAGAATACTCTAGAGAAAATTAACGTAGATTCACTCTTTGATATTAAAAAGACTGAGGATGCAACGACAGAGGAAAACGACATGATGAAGACCGTGCAAAGCCTGAACAGTATTGAGAATGTTGAAATTGTGGAGGAAGACGGAGAAGGGGCCGCCGGTGGTAGTACAGTTTTTAGCATTCCACTAGTTAACGTTAACGACGATAACATCGACGCTGACAAGTCTGACTATTACGTTTCTATTGATGATATAAACGATATGTTGGAGGAAGATTCTTAAGATCCAACTTAAATTTAGTACCTTTTCCAGTTCTTATTTTAATTTTCGCATTAGTTAACACACTAGCACTGTTGCAAGTATAATACCTATTAAAATGTTCATTATTAGTGGCGTGTGTTGTAGAAATTTGTTGTTTAGTCTGTCTGAGTAAAAATTTTAGAAGAGAAAAAATAATAAGTTATGGAACTGACAGTTTCAAGTTTACAGTGACAGATTTAATTTTGGGTAACATTGTTTTAACTAATTACCTATATATAAAAAAACTGCTTCCAAATCAATTGTTTTGGTTATATTGAAACATACATACATACATAATGCAATATTTTAAATAGGTTTGATTATAGCCGGAATAATTGTTGCATCTGTTTAATATTATAATATCCGATTAGATAATATGTAACTTTAAGGATGTTTCTGTCTTATAACTAAGTAAGTAATTATAAAGTATTGTAACTCTTACTATTTAAGTATGAAATTAGGGTGGCCCAAAAAAAAACGAATATTTTTTTTCGAGTCTCTTGTGAATATATGTTAGTTTATCATGTTTTAAGAGACCCCTCAAAAATCAGCTAAAAAAAACCTTTTTAAAGGTCGCTCAAGATTTTTCAAAATTTCCAAAATCGTCAAAAAATTTTTTTTTTATTTTTTCTCGTTATTTTATCATTTTCTAGGTTGAAAAAAATCTCGATTCTGAAAATTTCAAATCGATATTTTAATTTCTAAAGGTCACTCATAATTATTTTAACTTTCAAAGTAGTGCACCTAAAACGTTTTCGGACCTCCAAAAATAAATATCAACGAACTAATAATTTTTTCATTGAATTTGGTCAACAAAAGAATAGAAATAAATCACACTTAAATTTAAAAAAATTAAAATGTTATAAATATTTGATACTCAGTGCGGTAGTAAATTTTGCCTTGAGAAATTTTTTAAGTGTCTCATGATTTATTTCTATTCTTTTATTTATCAAATAAAAAAATTATTAGTTCGTTGATATTTATTTTTAGTGGTCGCTCGAAAACATTTTAAGTACACTACTTTTAAAGTTAAAATAATTATGAGTGAAAAAAACTTAAAAAAAATCAATTTTTGACGATTTTGGAAATTTTTAAAAATATTGAGCGACCTCTAAAAATTTTTTTTGAGCTGATTTTATGAGAGGACTCTTAAAACATGATAAACTAATATATTTTCAAAAGAGGCACGAAAAAACAATTTTGAAAATTTTTTCTAAGCCACCCTAATGAACATACTGACTAGTACATAAAAAATATTAGATCATAATTACACAATATCTATCAAAAAGTATGTTACATAATTGCTGTCTATTTTTATTTCACAGTAATAAGTTTTCGAATTTTATAAAGCCACAGTTTGGTTCCCTGAGTTTGTAACAAAAAATAAAGTCCGTACAATATTTGTTGAAATAGAGTTCCAAAAAATAAAAAAGCCAAGAAAGTTCTGTTATCGGAACTTGAAATTTTCTATCTGAATGAATATATCGTACGGACTGTAAGTACACATTTCGCATTTACACAATTTATAAAAACTCTCATAGCATTGTGCCCATAGCAGTACATTATATGAGGTACAAAAATGATAACCTTTCGTGAAGGCGAAAAATTATAAAAGTGGTAATTGTTTTCCTCATTGTTTAATGCCCTATGGAAATATTTTGAAAACGGTTTTTATTTTTATTGTCATACTATTTTTCTAATTATACATTTAGGTATATTGTGTTGTAAGTTTAGAATTGATGTTTAAAACTTGCTGTATATTGTGCAGTAGCTTATGTCATTCGTTTTTTTATTATCGAAACTGGATTTTTATTTTAAGTTTGTAGGTCTTATGGTTCAATAAATGTCTAAAAATATATTCCTTTCATCACTGGACATTTCATTTCATTTGTCATTTAACTGAAAATCGTAAAGAAGTATACATACTTAGTCCCAATATTTGTTTATCAAGGTAGGTCTTAAATTAAACAAATAATCAAAAAACGCTGTAATATGTGTTCCATTTAAAAAAGTTAGATTTCATATTGTACAAGGTGTTAATTAAGTATTTACAATAAATTCAACGGACGATTATTTGAGCGATTTTAAGACAAAAAAAGTCCATGTAAACATTGTTCCGCAGATGCTTCGTTTTGAAGATACATGGTGTTAAACTGTTGTAAAAAAATTGCTATTTCGAAAATATCATAAATACTTGTGCAGCACTACACGCCGTACATCACGCCACGAGATGACCTAATGGGGACGAAAGGAGTAGACAAAGACAACGCACGACAACCATAGAATGTGGGGTGGGGTCCCTCAATAATGAGGACATTTACTCCGATTTAGGTATAGTCTTTCCGAAGTCAGTTGAACATGTAAAAAAACGCCTGGCAATAAAATTTAATGACCTTCATAGGCGTCCCTAAACAAGTTTTCTGCTAAAGGTAAAAAATTATAATAAGTTGTACATAATGTGTAGAAAATTTCATTTGGCCAACAACATATTTTAAATATTTAGTCCTCAAACAATTTTATTATATTGATGTTTTGTTCCGTTTTAAAAGGTCTCCAAAATGCCATGTTGTAATAATATTATTTCTCCCTTTCGCAATTACAATATCAATGATTAATAGAAGAAGAAAAATTAAAATTACCTGAATCACACCAAATTCCACATTGCTGCACTGCACTGCTGGGCAATTTGTCAACACTTGTCAACAGCTGAGATTTATTGCCCAGTGGCCCAATGCAACTGTGTTAGATTTCGTTAGCCCGCGCTCGCATTCTTCAACTGGGCGTATACATGTCTACCATCTCCACGTTTAGGTCGACCAGACCAGTATATGGATATGGTTAAATAAACATGGGAACAAGTTTTTCAAATATTTCAATGCCGACTTGCTGCGTCAGCGACCGAACCTGGTACATACTGTCAACGTCTTGGTTCTTCAATTGATATCGGAAAGACTATACATACAAATGTACCAAATACCAGTTTATCTGGTGAATTTATGTAACGGGTACCTATATTTGAGTGAAAATACTCAGTTTCAGGTCAAATATTATCACGAATGAATAAAATTATCAAAATGCTCAATATTGAGTGAAAATGTACTCAACCATTTCACTCGATGGATTCACCTTTCTTGCTTTCACTCACACCGATTTTTTTAGAATCTATCTCCCATATTTTAAATGTAGACTTATCAAACCTAATATCACTGTAATCGTTATTATGTCCAAATGTGTAAAAAATACACCGTCTTCAATTATAATAGATGTTGAATATTTTTCCAATATTCTTCTTTCTAATGTGCAAAAACGTTTCCTGCAATTTTTATCTTCATACTAGTTTGCATCATCGAAAAGTATCACATTAAAAAGGTAGTGATGCTTATGACAGACGTGTGTTATATATTTAAGTTTCACTCTTAAGAAGCAATTTAAATAAAAAGTAGTGTGGAAACTGTCATTTATAATGTCTTTTATAAAGTAGTATAACTTTGTTTTATTTTAGTTATACCCTGTCCCCAATGTGGTAAGCTGTACAAAAACTCCCACACGATCCGGATGCACCTTAGCCTCGATTGTGGAAAACCCAAAAATTTTGTTTGTCCTGAATGTGGAAAGAAATTTAAACGAGGTGCTCACTTGAGAGGTCACGTGAGGCGGATGCACAGCGGCAACAGGACATCTAACATGACAGACATAATGTTCCTTTAATAACAAAGGATGCATATGCTCCATTATCCATATGAGTTTGAAAATTTTCATTAAATACATGTTTAAATTTTCGTGTTTACATTTCTCATATTCCCAGATAGAAAATACCGCTTTAAGAGTTTCTTTTGGACATGGTCACAAAAAAAAAGTTATCGAAGATAACTGTTATAATGTAGAGACAAAACCTATTACAATTTAGATACATATTTTGGAAACTTAAAGACCTATGTGTATGAGAGAAATTGATTTGCAGTATAAAGAAAAAAAGGGGGTTTCCTTTGATGCAAAACTGAAGCCCTTTTATTTATTATTATTATTATTATCATTTATTTATGCAGTTTTATACGCGTACCTGTGCTCGATTGACAGAAATATTTTTGCGAGTAGAGTATATCTTTTGATACCTACTGACTTACCACATTGACACATGTAAACTTTTTTGGAACCGCTTTGTTGAATTGTATAGATTTTTAATAAGTGTTTCATTTTAGGTATTCGCTGTCCCCAATGCAATAAATTGTATAAAAATGCTAATTGTTTAAGCTCCCATATATCTCAAGACTGTGGGAAAGGAAAAGTGTTCCTTTGTGGTTATTGTCCGTCTGGTTTCAAAAGGAAACATCAGTTGAAAAGCCATATAGTACGAATGCATGCAGAAACTCTGCTTTCAGACACTTCTAGTCATTTGCCAACGTGAAAAAAAATGTATATTTTTAGTCATCTCATAAGCATGTACAATATTTATGCTCAATAAACTGTGTTGTGTTTGAAGGTTTTTTCTATGCAAATGATGGTGATTAAAAGGTACATTTTTAATACCTTGTACCCTCAGAAATCGGACGTTTTATTGTATGTATATATTTACATTAAGCTCGATTGAAAACACTCCCTATATTATTATAAAAATTGGATTAATGTCTTTTTGAAAAATTTTGTTGAGAAGAAGAAGGGAAAGTCAAGTACTATTTCTTATATGTAAATGAATCATTTGTATGAATTTAAAAAATAAATTTTTCAACGTCATAAATGTCATTATGTGTTTATGTTAATTACCCAGCGTTAAAGTATATAGGTATCTATTTTATTAAATTTCTTTTTTATATTATTTCAGGTAACGATGAAGCTGTATTTTGCCCAAAGTGTAACAAAAGTTACAAAAATCTAAATAGTTTGAGAGCCCATGTTTATCAAATTTGCGGGAAAGAACGCAAATTTGGATGCCCTATGTGTTCGATGAAGTTCAAGAAGAGATACAATTTGAAACTACACTGTAC